CCAGCTAGATTACTCTTGAGACCTGTAGTTCTGGAGACTGGTGTCTCCTTTGCTGTCAGTAGGAGATTCTTTCTGCCTCCAGTGTCAAGAGTCCCCAATTCCACATCATGTGTCTTCCTCTTTTCTCAGTTTACTCCTTCCTTTAGGTGAAACATCCTCTGGTAGCTCTTGAAGAAGGCTCAATCCTTGGACCTCATTTCTTTGTTTATGCCACCTCCCAAGGAAATTCCATCTAGTCTGTGGCTTTAAAAGCTTTCATTGATGTGGTTTAGTCACTGAGTTGTGTTCAGCTCTTGTGACCCCATGGACTGTAGCCCACCATGGGAATCCATGGGATTTCCCAGGCAAGTATACTGGAGTGGGTTGTCAGTTTTTTCTCCAGGAGAACTTCCTGATCCAGGGATCAAACCTGTGTCTCCTGCATTGCAATGCAGAGCAGTGCTCAGTTGTGTTCGACTCTGTGACCACATGGACAGCAGCCCGTGTTGCAGGTGGATTCTTTACCACTGAGCCACAGGGGAGCCCATCTTTGCTGTTACTACACTAAAATTCCTACTTCGAGCACAGACCTTCTCTGAAATCCAGTCTTAGATATGCAACCACCAATTCAGCATCCCTAGTCAGATCTGTAATACACACCTGGCCTTTATCCCAAGCTGAACTCGATTTCTGCAGCTCAAACCTGCTCTCTTTCAAGACACATCTATCTTAACAAATGGCAGCTTGATTCATCCTCAGACCAAAATCTTAAACCATCCTTGCCTTTTTTTCTCTTATACCACATATCCACTTGGTCACCAAGTCCTCTTGGCTTGATCGTAATAATATATCCCCCAGTTTGATCACTTATCACCTCTACTACAAACACCCCAATCTGAGTTACCTTCTCTGACCCTTACTATTGTGAAAGGCCTTTCCTAACTGTTCTCTCTACCACCTGTGACCCCCACCAAAGTCTTTACTATTGATTCACCCAGCATGTAGAGTGGTCTTTGTCCCACATACTCAAAATTCTCCACTGGTTTCCCATCTTCAGAATAAAATTTAAAGTTTCCTTATCTTGCTCTACAAGGGAGTGTTAGGATCCTGTCAGGAAAACAGGTGGATATCACACTCAAATTGCAGGATTTGGAGAATGTATTAAAGGAACTCTTCCCAAAGGTGTGAGGGGTTTAGGGGAGCCACCAGACCCGCTGCATGCCATTCCCTGGAGCTGGCAGCCCTGGAGAGGTATTAGGCACCCACCCCCCACCCCTCACCTCCAGCCTGAAGTGCACAGAGCAACTCTAAGCTGCTGAAGGTCCTCTGACAGAAGTGGGGCTCTCAGTAAAGACGTCCGCCCTCTTGAGTTCTTGCAGGTGCCTCCCATTGGCCAAATCTCACAGGAAGCCAGAGGTCAAGGGAGCTTGTTGATTGGGCCATAAACAGCTTCCCAGGCAGCAGAGAAGAGTGGCTAGTGGGTGTGGGGGGACAAAAGGAAAGCAGCCAACACAAAGGGCCCCGTGATCAGGCTTCTGTACTCGTCTCCGGCCACCCTTCCCAGTCACACGGGCCTCCGTTCACACCTGACCGAGGCCACTGCCCTTGTTCATATGCCTGGAAGGCTCTTACCCCAGACATCAGCGTGGCTTGCTCCTTTGTTGAGGTCTCTCTCTGTTTGTTTAACTGTAACCTCAACCAGAGGGCTTATCTAAAAGAGCTCTCTGCCACCCCAGCACTCCACCCCCGAGTCCTGTTCCCCAGAGTACTGATTACTACCTGATGTGCTCTGTTGATATTTTCAGGTTATGAGAAAGGCCCATTAGAGCAAGGGCCTTGTTTGTTCACTGCTGTATCCCTAGAATTGAGAATAATGTCTGGCACATAGTAGGTTCTCAAACATTGGTTAAATGAATGTACACAAGGGATGAAATAAACTTTTTTTGAGATCTTGGATAAAGTTTTTCAACTCTCATTGTTGAATGATGGTATTTGGGAATAGACTTTTAAACTGGAAATAATTTTTCCTAAACAGCTTTAGCACTGCTTATTATTTTTAGCTAAAAACAAACTTAAAAACTGTTTTTAAGTCAAATGTCATTCTTTTCCCCATGCTTTTGTTATAACCTTTGTTGATACAGGTCATAAACAGCTTCCTAGGCAGCAGAGCAGAGTGGAGAGGGTGTGGGAGGACAAAAGGAAAGTAGCCAACACCACTTTCTTTTCTTGACCTGATTTTTTTTTTTTAGGATCATCTCTTTATTGCTTAGTGTTCTGAGATTTGCAATAATGCCTTGGTTTAATCTTTTTTTCACTTGTTCTGCACGGTACTCAGTGAGCTGTTTGTTTCAAAATTTTCTTGCAGTTCTGGGAAATTTTCTTGAATTATTCCTTTAATATTTCTTCCACACTGTTTTCTATGTTCTCTTTCTAGAACTCATTATTTGCACATTAGATTTCTGGACTGATCCTCTAAATTTTTTATCTCTTACTAACTGTTGTCCATTGCTTTTCCTGCTTTCTGAGAGGTTTCAACTTTTATCTTTCAGTCTTACTAAGTTTTTCCGTTTCTACCTTTATACTTTTAATTTCCCAGAGCCAGTGGTACATTGGTAAATACTGTTACATGTGTGTTGGGCTCTGTGTGTGTATATATATAATATTATATTTATGTATGTTGGTCAGTATTTAACTATCAGGGGGCGCGTAGAGGGGAAAACCTGATCTATAGCGTGAACCAACTCTGGGATGTAAAATCTCCCATTATGGCTGATTCCAGGCTACCAGTGGGCTGTCAGTGTGGAGCTGGGAAAAGTTGCTTAGTAGTATACCAACTATATATATTTTGCCTATATAAAAACAATAAACATAAATGACTTCAAGGTCACAGATGATAATAAAACTATAATTGATGTAAATTAATTGGGAAGTGATGAGCTTTGAGTATTTCTTACATTTGTTTGAATATAATTTATCTTTCAATTTATATAATTTAATTTTTGATAATGCCCTGCGCCTGTTTTGCAGAATTCATCAAAAAGTAACAGTTGGTTCTTGTGAGCTCTTTTGAGCCAGATCCAGCTCACCACTGCTCAGAGCTCATCTTTGTTCCCTGAACTTTCTTTTTATAGAGGTTTCAGAGATACATCTTCTTATCTCTGAATACACTAATGATAATCTTAAACTTTTTGTTCCTCTATATTGTCTGTTTTCTCTGAGCTCATTTTTTGTTTATCTTTTATATTATAGGTTTTCCTCAGATGTCTAGTAATCCTTGTAAGGATCTGAATTGTTGATGCCCACTATGCAGTACAGTATATTGTTATTCAGTCACTAAGTCGTATCTGACTCTCTTGCAACCCCATGGATTGCAGCATGCCAGGCTTCCCTGTCCTTCACTAACTTCTGGAGTTTGCTCAAACACCCGTCCATTGAGTCGGTCAGGCTATCCAACCATTTCATCCTCTGTCACCTTCCTTCTGCCCTCAATCTGCCCCAGCCCAATGAGTCGTTGTATCCAAATGCAGTTACTCTTTTGACCACAAGGGGCATGTGTGCTGGCGAAACTAACACTACCTATACCTATAGCTACTTATAATTTAAAAGCATTCTCACATTTGTTGTTTGATTTCCACAACTTTCCAAAAAGTTTATTCTAGACTTCTTTGGAAGAAGGTTTGGCATAAATTCATTTAAAATTACCCCCATTTTAAAGATGAGGAAATGAGGCTCAAAAAAGGTAACTCAAACTAAGGCCCTTTGGATATTTGGTGTCCTTATCACTACACCTCCATGCCTCTTATCCATTTTCTCATTTTTTTAAGAAGAGAAGTGCAAATAATAAAGATCTGTGTTCTAGACAGACCAATTTAAAAATTATTAACAGTAACATTTTTGCTAATTCCTAATATATGACAATACATCCATTAGAGAAATAAAAATTTTAAATCTCTAGAAGTCTGTGAATTTAAGTACTTTTTAATATTTTTTCTGTCATTATTATTATTTTTTGCCACACTGCATGGTTTGCAGGATCTTGTTTCCCAGCCAGGGGTTGAACCTGTGCTCTCAGCAGTGAAAGTACAGATTCCTAACCCCACCAGACCACAGGGAATTCCCTCCCTCTCATTTTCTCACCTGTGAGTAAAAATTAGCGTTCTCTTAAACTAAGGATAAGCGTGGCCTTTCAGCTCTAAACTAGTGCTGGTCCTAGTTCCAGCCTCACCTGCAGTCACACTGCTTCGTGCACTACTATGTGTTGCCGTGACGTGTGTAACAGTAGATTCAGAATGATAAACCCCCAAATCAAGATAGTGATTCCTCCAGGGGGAAGGAGGTGGACAAGATTTTGCAGGGCTGCACAGAGGGTTTCAACTATGCCTGTCATATTTATTTCATAAACTGGGTGGCAGGTACAAAGGGTTTTGTTATATTCTATATTTTGTATGCCCAACATAATTCATTTCAAAAAGTTTATGAGGTCTAGAGTAACAAACACAGTTCATTCACCCCACAAATATTTATTGAGCATTTTTGTGACGCATTCTCCTAGGTAGTGGTGAACAGCAATTTAGGGTCTCAATTCACTAATTCATTCAATACACATGTACTATGCCAGACATTAATAAGATGACTCACACCTGATCCTACACCTTCAAAGACTTTTAGACTGGCGTGAGGTAGGGCACATTTGTTACTATACATGCAAACCTCACAAGGTTGAAGTTAGTTTCAGAACAGAGGTGCAGTGAGAAAGAAAAATCAGAGAATTTGGGAGGGCTTCACAGAGAAGATGGCAAATGAGCTGGATCTCGAAGGAGCCGCTGAGACAGTGGGGAGGGGTGCACTCGAGGCAAAGAGCCTCCTCCGTAGAGGGAACAACATGAGCAAAGCGTGGAGGTGGGAGTATGTGCCCCGTGAGGGCCCAGTGAGTATTCCGGTTTGGCTGATGAACTCAGGGGCAGGGAGAAAAAAGGCTGGGAAAAGAGCTAGCCAACCTGCTGGACTATTCTGCAGGAGACATGGAGGTGTTGCTGTTGGTGAGGCCAGGAAGGCAGGGGAGTGGTGGGATGCTCATACAGCCCGGGTGGGTGCAAATAGGACTTGGAGAGACAGGAGCAGGTGGGAGATCACAGGATTGGAGTCCACACGACCTCCTGTTTCATTTGGGCTGGGATCTCCTTCAGTTTCTGCTTGAACTCCTCCAGGGACGGGAAGCTCACCACTCAAAAGTTTAGATTTTACTGCGGGGGGTAGCAGTTCCCCACGTGTCTACTGGGTCTCACATGGAGCTGCACTTCACAGGGCCATGGGGAAGGGGAAGGAGATACTAGAGGAGAAAAGAAAAAAAAACAAGAGAAAGAACCTGGAAAAGCACAAAGCATGATGTCACTCCAAGCACAAAGCATGACTGTCCTCTCTGCTGATGAGGGTGCCTGAGGGGGAGCTGGGCTGGGGGAGCTGAGCAGGGAGGGGCTGCCCTGGGGCTCTGCTCCTGGCCAGCAGGCTGGAGGTTGGCGCTTCTGGGTTGCCTTTGTGGTTTCCCAATGGGATGCCACGATGCTGGGCCCGGAATTCAGGGAAGACAGAGAGACTGTCTAGTGCTGGACGTGTGGGATGCTCCTGTGTCACCTGGGGTCCTGCTCTGCCAGCCTCTACTCTTCCAGTCCAGGGAAAGGGCACTTTGGACTGATTGGGATCCTCTCAGCCGGGGCCATCAGCGCTGGCCCTCACACCCTGCCAGCACGGCTTTTGGCTCAAAGACTGGGGCAAGACTGGTCTTCATGGAAGATTGATTGGGTACCCTACGCTCTCTGATAGAAACCACCCCCACCCCCAATTCCTGCAAGTTCCCAGTTACCCTAAGTCTCTCTAACCAACCTGTTGCAGTGTCTGAAATCCCATAATTGGAGTAGCATATACATCTCCCAGGGCTTCCCAGGTGGCTCAGTAAAGAATCCCCCTGCCAATGTAGGAGATGCCAGAGACGTGGGTTCGATCCCTGGGTCAGAAAGATTCCCTAGAGAAGGAAATGGCAACCCACTCCAGTAATCTTGCCTGGAAAATTCCATCGACAAAAGAGCCTAGTGGACTACAGTCTGTGGGGTCACAAATAGCCTGACATGACTGAGCACGCATGCACACATCTCCTAGAGGGTCTAATGCATTACTTGAGAGTAAACACGAATACAGTTATTTATTAACAAATTCACAAAGATTCAAAGGGCCCGACTGCTTCCGTAATAAAGCCCTACACTGAAACAAACAAAACAAACTAAAGTGCTATTATTTATGCAAATTACCCCAAGTGCTAACCACCTCTTAACTCAGGATTGAGCCCTTACGATCACACTTTTGCCTCCATAATCTCACTGGACCTTTACAGCAACCCTGTATCTCCGAAATTATTAAACTTCTCTTTGCCTCGGTTTCTTCTTGTAAAATGGAGGTAAAGTCCTGTGCTCAAGGTCACAGGGCCAACATGAGGCCACCCACCAAGACTGGATGCCAGATTTTAGAAACAAAGTCTCATTTTTTCCTGTTTTTTTCTAAGCAGCTTGAGGTGTGACACGCTCAACATTGCGGAAGGATTACTGTCTGAGCAGGACAGGTCTCTGACCTTTGACTGCAAGATAAGGAGTGGCTGGGACTGGGAATGGAAGTCAGGGGTCAGCTGATGTGTACAGCAGCAGCGTCACTGAGGACGCTGCACTGGGACTTGGAGGTGTGGTCAGTTAGCCCGTTAGGTGATGAGGCTCAGGTCCCCTGTACGGCAGGGGCACAAGCCAGGGATGGGAAGTCTGCACACAGCACAGCCGGGATGGAGCCCAGGCTGCTGGTGCCTGAGCCTGGCCTTCTCCATCTCTGCACTGCCCCCCAGGGCTGCTGTGTGAACTCTGGCAAGTCTCACTGCCTGGCTGATCCTTAGAGAAAAGGAGGTTGGACCAGAAATGTTCCAAGCCCTGTCCCTGGCAGTGCCATGATAAAGCAGGTGAAACTCTTCAAGCAGGAAGAGTTGAAACTAAAGCAGGTGAAACTCTTCAAGTCTCCAGCACCTTCAAAGAGAGGCCCTCGGGCAGGGAGGATGTGTTTCCAGTCCTGACTGAATCGCTTTTTCTTACATCATAACAGATTCCTTTCTGGTCCTGCACCTGCCTGAAGGTTGGAAAATCAGCTGTATCTGTGAGTCATCTCCTGGGCTCTGCCCAGCCTGCCCTTTTATTTCTTCATTCAGCAGCATCTTTCGAGATGCTAACTCGAAAGATGGCCCTGTCCTGTCTCCTCTCTCATCCATCCATCCATCATTCCAATCAACAAGTATTTACCGAACCATGTGTCAAATGCTATATAACAGTGAGCATAGCCAATATGGTCCCTGCTCTCATGGAGCCTATAGGGTTTTGGAGGGGAGAGATATTAAAGAATCACCATACAAATGCAGGTGCCAATGGTAACAAGTGCTATAGAGGAGTCGGGCCTGGTGCTATAAGCTGAGGGTGGTGGTGAAAGTGAAAATCGCTCAGTTGTATCTGACTCTCTGCAACCCCGTAACTATACAGTCCATGGACTTCTCCAGGCCAGAATACGGGAGTGGGTAGTCTTTCCCTTCTCCATGGGATCTTCCCAACCCAGGGATCAAACCCAGATCGCCCCCATTTCAAGCAGATTCTTTACCAGCTGAGCCACGAGGGAACCCGAGGGTGGTGGTGGGCTGGGTGAACTTCACCAAAGTAGGCAGAGAAGGTTCCCTGAGCAAGTGGCTCTTGAGCCTGGGATGTAAGGGGGAGTGAAGAGGGGGGACTGTAGTGGGCATTCTACGCACAGGAAATAGCCTTTATAAAGGCCTTTTGGCAGAGAGAGCCCAGTGAGTTGGAGAGGGACGTGGGGAGGCAGGGGCCAGATTCACAGGACTTCGTAGGCCTTTGAAAGGAGCTGTTTGGGCTTCCCAGGTGACTAAGTGGTAAAGAACCCGCCTGCCAATGCAAAAGACACAGGAGACATCGGTTGGATCCCTGGGTCGAGAAGATCCCCTGGAGGAGGGCACAGCAACCCACTCCAGTATTCTTGCCTGGAGAGTCCCATGGACAGAGGAGCCTGGCGGGCTACTGTCCATGGGGTCACAAAAAGCCAAACACGTCTTAGCACAAACACATGCTGCTTATCTGTCATGACAAGAAAAGTAGCATCATCCTCATGTGCAAGGCTAAAACACAGGTGAAGACATGGCAGTAAATACATGATGAATAGACAAATAGGGCTTCCAGGTGGTGCAGTGGTAAAGAATCTGCCTGCCAATGCAGGAGATGCCAGAGATGTGGTTTCAATCCCTGGGTCAGGAAGATCCTCTGGAGTAGGAAACAGCAGCTCACTCCAATATTCTTGCCTGAAAACTTCCATGGACAGAGAAGCCGGGAGGTCGGGGGGTAAGAGTGGGGGGCTACAGTCCATGGGGCCACAAGGAGCCGGACACAGCTGAGCACACACATCTTTTGTTTAGAGCAGCAAGGATAAAGCATTTTAATCAGCGTTAAGTACTGTCATCAGCTTTACATTTTTAAAGTATTCTGGCTGCCCGCTGGTTGGAGAATGGATGAAGGTGAATGGAAGGGGAGATGGACGTAGTGAATTTGAAAGACCAGAGAGGAGGCCAGAGTCCAAAGCAGAGATGACTGTGGCTTGGACTAAGGTGTCAGTATAGAGAGAGAGAAGAGTGGAGAAGTTGGAGAAATATCTAGAGAGCAAACCTGTCAAGACTTGGGGTTGGGTTGGATGTGGGGAGTGAAAGAGACAGAGGTATGAAAGATGACTACCAGTCTCTGGCATGGGCAGGAGGAGTGGTGGAGGTCTATTCAAGAAGACAGGGAACTCTGGGCGGGCACAGGTGTGAACAGCACATTATGAGTTCAGTTTTGGATATGTTGAGTTTGAACTGTCTATAAGATATCCAACTAGGTCAAATAATAAGTAACACAGAACACTTGCATGTGTGAGGCATTTCATTAAAGACATTATAAATATTATCTCATTTAATTCTTTTTAAAAAAATGTATTTTTTTTGGCTGTGCTAGCTCTTCATAACTGCATGGGCTTTCTCTAGTTGCCGCGCACAGGCTTCTCTTGTTGCGGAGCACAGGCTCTAGGGCGCAGGCTCTGTAGCTATGGTACATGGACTTAGTTGCCTTGCAGCATGTGGGATCTTCTGGACCAGAGATGGAACCTGTGTCCCCCACATTGGCAGGCTGATTCTTATCCACTGGACCACCAGGGAAGTTCTATCTCGTTTAATTCTGGGAGTCACTCTATTAATAGAGAGCATCAGCATCTAAGAGAAAGCAGGCAGGTAGTTGGACATACAGGTCTGAAGCTCAGAAGAAAGCTCTGGACTGAAGATGTAGAGTCTTCAGGGAAACTGAAGTGAGAATCAAGTGAAACTGCCCCAGGAGAAACAAGTTCAGCTTCTCTCCCATCTTACCTCCACCCATGTCTAGCTGGTCTCTGCTCAGGTCCATGGCCCCATGCTGGGTAGGGGAGACCCACTCTTCATTCTCCGCTCAAGAGCTGGGGTCTACTCATCCTCCCCATCAATCTGCCAGGACTGTGATTTGCTTCTATTTTTTTTTTTTTTAGATTTTATTTTATTTTATTTTATTTTTTTTATGTGATTTGCTTCTAAATAAAAGAATTCAAAAGGAGTGACACTTCAGAACTTCTGAAGCTAGGGCAGAAAAGTCTTGTTACCTGGGACACTCAGGTTCGGGGTAGGAAGGTTGACCCTGAGACCTCCAAGCTGAGAGAGCCGAGGCCATGTGCAGGTGCCCTGGAATCCAGCCATGCTGGAGGCTGGGACACCAGCCAGTACTACCTGGGCACCTGGGTGAGGGTGTCTCCATGTGACTCCTGGCCCAGCCCTGAAGTCTCCAACCTTCTCAGCCAAGGCCCTGAGCCAGTCCTGCCACAGCTTATCTGAATTCTTTTTTTTAATATTTATTATTGGCTGCATTTCAACAGTACATGAACTGTGAACTTCCAGATGTTCAAGCTGGATTTAGAAAAGGCAGAGGAACCAGAGATCAAATTGCCAACATC